GAGAATGAGGGTGAGGGTATGAGTGAGGGTGACGGTGAGGCTGAGGCTGAGGACGAAAATGGACGCCAGCTGACAGTATTCTTCAAGATGGAACTCTGATCGATTCTGATCAATCTATATGGGGAATATCTGCATTTTTCGTCGACAGCAAAGGATCTGTATATACAGTTGGTCCAAAATACGTTTTTGTAAGTAAATGGACAGATGGTAATGTCGAGTATCTAACACGAAATCCAAAGCTCAATCATCCTACATCAGTGCTTGTTGATAACGAAGGAAATATTTATATCGGTGAACTCAATCAAATTACATTATGGCCAGCAAAATCAAATGAGAGTTTAGCAATTGTAAAGATTAATGGATCAAATGGTTCTGTATTAAATAATAATTATAAAAATATTATACAAATGGATAACGATGGATCTCTCTATCTTCTTTCTACTGATCAGGAACTATTCGGAACTAAGATATTAAAATATCAATGTAACAGTGAGTAAATGTTTCTATATATAAAAAAAAGTGTAACGAATTTCTAATAGATTGTGCATCCTGCATCACAAACAATCGCTTCACAGCCCAAAAATACCATGAAAAGTACGGTCCTTTATACAAGGGTAAATTTAACTTGTCTGGGTATACTGGATGGTCACACCTAGTCAAGTCTGGTCAAGCAACTAACGATGAGAAAGTCATTATTAGCGCTATGGCAGAAAATGAAGGAAATCTTGATGCTGTACAAGCCTATGGTTCCGAAGTTCTAACAGCTGGAGCAATGCAAAAAACTGTAAAGATTTCAGGTAAAGGCGAATTTGAGCAGCAAGTTTACGAGTTCAAACAGGAGTATCCACGGGTTTACAATGAACAGTTTGAAATGTGTGGTTGGAACGTCTCTGCAAAAATGCAGATGTCATTCAGAGGAAAAACAGGCTTGATTTTAAAAAATTATTTGAGAGAAGGTTTTACGAAATCTGTAAAGAATACATCTGAAGCACTTGGTCCTATTGTTTGTGCAATTAGCAGTCCTGAATTTCAACTAAAACAAGTGAAAGACTTTATTAAGCGTCTTCGAGATGTATTAAAAATTATTCCAACCGGTTTTACCTATACAATTGGTGATTATTTTAAATCTCCTCTTGGTCAAGCTACTACATTAGACCACCATGTCAATAGGCCTGCATATGTAAAAACCAATGTCAGCACAGCATTGAATAATTTTTACAGAAAAAATAAAGATGCATCAAAAAATCCAAGGGAGTGGACAGTTCAACAACGATCAACATATGAAAGAGAAATCTTAGAAGATTACGGTGTGCATCGTACAATGACAGATGCTAATATTAGGTATAACAAACTGAAAAAAAGATTATCCTTACCTTAAGCTATCCAGTCATTGTTTTCGCTGACTAATTTTATAACTTCATCATTTATTCGTGAAACAAACAACATTTAACAACTTATGAATTACGCTTGTTTTTTGAAGAAGGATGTGAGTGTGGAATGTGGATTTGTGTGTATAAAGTTAACACAAAATCATAGTTTTTCAAGTTCACCAAGGAGCCTTATCAAATGGTAAGTATTTGTTCAAATGATTCAAAAAACTATAAAAAAAATATTTCGAAAAAAATACAAAATACATGAAAACTTTTCGATTTGAAAGCCAAGCAATCAAAAATACTCAACGATTGTGCGAGTTATCACAAAACCATCATTTTTCTAGTTCACTGAAGGATCTTAATGTGTGAGTGTGAAAGTGAATGTAGAGGTGGAGGGTTGATGTGCGAGTGTGGGTGTTGGTGAGTATAGACGTGTGTATAGGTGTCTTTGAAAAGTGTGACCGTTCCGTATTAGAGGAACACCCACCCTATTACAACATTCTAGTATAGGCCAATTAAAGAATAATTCTTAAATCGTCTTCAGATAAAGCGAAATGACAACCGGTGTAGGTGGTTATGGGCGTTCCTGGAAGAAAGAGCGATTGTACTTTTCCAGGACGCCTATAATACCCGCATCCATACGCACCCAAATGCTCTTTCAGGAAGGAGGGTGGGTGTGGGTTCGGATAAATTGAAGATTAACGCAAACACCCACACCCTCTTAGAATTAAAATAATCTGTCTACCGTTTGTAGAAATATCTTAAATAAATATAATTCTTGAATATTTTGATAATATATCATTCATTTATCAAAGAAAAATACATAGAATATAAATTAATAAATACATTTAACTAGACTAATTATAGAAGATCGATTACGATAACAACTATGAGAATATAAATTCAGGGTACTTGATTCGATGTACTTGTACGTGCAAAACTACTGTTGTACGATACGAAACCTGGTATAATGACTTTTTCCATAGTTTCATTGTTTTTTCTTGCTGGAAAACCAAAACTTTTCCAACAAGAAGCTGCCGACCGCTTATAATTATTCAATACTACTTCAAAATGTTCTCCATCTTCTAATAATAAATTTTGAATTATAGGTGCCGAATATTCTATTGTGGAGAATGATGCACAAGAAATTGTTGAAGATATTGAACTAGATGATGAAGTATTATCAAAACTGGACATGTTTTCGAAATAGATATTAGTGTGCCAACTATCTAATATAGCATGAATTTCAGACTAAAAGAAAGAGATACCAAATATTTTCTATTACAATCATCCCTTACATTAAATTTGCACTTGAATATGGTCTTGCGTAATAAATCAAGAGGTTATTGTTAAAAATACACATAGCTTTCGTTTAATTTTGCTCAGCTGGGGGAAAATTCCAGAGAGAAAGTCTCCCAAAGTGAAAGAGAAACGGTTTTTTACGTTCGTTTTTTACGCTAAAATATAGTATTAGATGATGCTTTCAAAACAGCGTTATTCAATAGATTGTTATTTTCTTCGTTGTTGTTTGTGCATATAAAGCTGAGCGAGAAATTCAGAAAAATGAAAACTAGTTAATTTTTTATATACAAAAATATATAAATATTTTCAAAAATAATATTCTTTGAAAAGAGTATTAGGTTTTAATTATTATTTATCATTAACATCATCATCATTATCGTCATCATTATCTTGGTACTTGTATATCTTGATGTTACGAGCTTTTGCTTTTCCTGGGTACATACAAAAATGTTTAACAATATCATCTAAATCATTATCAGTAACATCCGGTTTTAAAATACTAAACTTCACAGCCGTTTCTAATGCTGTGAATGAAAGACAATTTCATAATTTCGTTTTAATTCGTTTTAATGCACTAAAAGGGTGTGGGTGTGGGTGTGGGTATGGAGTGTGGGTGTGGGTATGGGGTGTGGGTGTGGGTAGGGGTGGGTGGGGGTGTGGGTGGGTGTGAGTGTGGGCGTGGGGGTGGGTGCGGGCGGGTGGGG